CATGCCCGATATCACGTGTCTGCGAGCGAAAAGATTCGGGGCCCGCCGGAGGAAGCGCGTATTCCGCAAAATACAAATTTGCAGAACACCGAGCGTGTTTTACTATTAATCTCCGATGTGGACATATCCCGCTTTCTGATTGCCCGTTATAAAACGAGCATGCACCGCCGATATTCCGTTATTCCGGTATCGCTCGGACGCTAATTTGCGAGACGGACATCGAGATGCAAAAATCCGCATTGGGAATGTGGCCAAAAACACACTTAACCAATCCAGCTATACGTAACGCCGACAAATACCGACGGTAACAATGATAAACAGTGACAATCGACGTTACAGTCGGGCGAACTATGTGGTTCGAGGGCTGCTTTACTGCTTACATGTGTTTCCGTTTGAAATTTATTCGTTAGTCGCGTCATCATTTTCGCGTCGTTACAAATTCCAACGATTTTCACCGAAAATGTGTGAAACGTAACACGTATGCGACAAATGCGATTAGTTTCTGAAATTGTTGGCAATTTTTCGTTACCACCCGCGTTAGTAAAATCATCAGATCTATCCAATTTCGAGCATCAGGGGAGCGAAGTAGGTCCAACTGAAGGGAAATAAATTGAGCAAACAAAACAAGAAGAAATCTTACGTTATGCAGTTGCGCATAATCGATACACTCGGGACACAATATAGTTGCGGAAATAACTGAGGAGCGCGTCCGATATAATCAAGTCCGCTTTCTCACGAGTTTGGATGCAGTTAGGTCGATACCATCCGCGGCGGCGGTCTCATTTATTTAATATCTACAGGAATCTGTGGACGCGAGCGCGCTTCTCTCGCGGTGATCCCATGCGAAATTCGTGCAACTTCCGAACGGCATGGGAAGAGTGCTCGAATCTCGGCGGATGCGTCCGTAACGAACGAGCGCAATGCGATTAAGTTAATTGCCTCTTTAATTAGACGGCACACAAACTTATGCCGGGAGCCTCCTTCTCCTCCTCCATCACCACCGCTACCGCCAGCACCTCTTCTTCTTCCTCTTCCCTCCCCGCCTCATGGCGTCGCACAAATATTTAATTACAGCGTCACACGTGCGGGATTACTCGAATCTCCTTTGCATTCGCAAGACGCGGCTATGTGTTTAGTATGGAGCAGGAATCACGCTGTACTTCCACTCGCTCGATGGAAGCCCCACGTATGCAGCAATAACAAACGTCAGATCGCGTCACCAGACCATTGTTTTTTCCACGGTGTTGATGGCGACTTGACGCGAGGATAAGCGGCGAGGACTTCGTCGCCGAGACTTCAAACTTGAAGTACAGCCGGGAAAGGTGAACACTTGAACGCCTCGCCTTACGGAATCCCGTATCCGACCATAGACGCGAAGACGCACCGAGTCGATGGTATCATTGATCCTGAAAGAGAGAACGAGACTCGATCGAAATCGGCCGGAGACGTGCCTCACCTTACTTCACCTCTTCTCATCTCTCCTCTCCTCTGCTCTCCTCTCCTCTCCTCTCCTCTCCTCTCTTCTCCTCTGCTTCCCTCTCGCGTAAATTAGATCTGTCGTGGAAATGAACGCGCGAATAGACGCAAGGTGCTCGCTTACATACAACGTCGCGCTGTCGGCGCCGAGGGTGGAAGTAACACGACAGCAGGAGATTCGACGTATCCGTTAATCCGTTCGGCTTAATGCGGAGGACCGGGAATGCAGGAACTCGGTAGGTCCAAAGGCGGCGGTGAGAGACCCGCTTTCCCGCCGTTGCTGACCATTGGGGGGTAATTATCGGTAGCACGGGGAAAGCTCTCTCACGCTCAAATCCCTTCCGGCGACTCGCGCTCACCGCGTCAATCCCCGACCTCCCCTTAAAGGTCAACCCTGCATACCGCCGTGCGCGCGTCGTAAGCGCGTACACCGTATACATGCAGCAATAACCGGTAATTTTTCTGCAGCCGAGATCCTTGCAGCGACGACCAATCGAGAGGCTCCGGCTCACTACTTCTTTTCCTACCTTTCGCCTCCCTGACCCTTTCGCGCTACAGGGGTGCGTGTCGTTCGACGAGGACAGCGTATAAACGGAGCCCTTCTTTCGCGAACGACCGCGCGCACGCTCGGATGCGAGACGCAAAATAGAGTCAATTGTGAAAGCGGGGTCATTCGACGAACGCGATCGATCTTTTTTCTTTCCTTCGTTCTTTCTTGTAAGGATTCTGGATAGAGAAGGGTTCGCGGATTTCCCAGGCGACTTCGCAATTTTGCTTCTTGCTTGTCGGCAACTTCAAAAAAAATCACGTCCATTGCTGTTTAAGTTTGGTCGATTTTTAAGTCTCAATATATCGAGTACCTTTGTAACTTTAATCCTCGAATGAATAGATAAAACACAAATCTGTCAGAATTTATGTGAAATATTAAGTAGAGAAATTGATATTTTAACATTTGCGTGCTTCGTTCCTGCGATCTAATTCCCGCGAAAAATTCGTCATTTTTGATCGTTTAAAACTAGAGAAAGTATGACTAAAAAAAGAATCGAATGTGATCTTTAATTAATATCAACTAATTGCTTCTTCTATAATGAAACTTAAACATAAAAAATCGAACAACAAAATCAATTGAACTCTAAACATCAGTATGAGCTGAACTACGAAAATAAATAACGGATGATAGCATGCAGTACGCGTGCTTGCTAATTACAGGTCCATGATTATGAAATCTACGTGATATTACTGGGCAATTTTGACTCTATTATGGCCTTAATATTTTTATGTTAGGATTTTCCATTATTTAATTAAAAAAGCTGCAGAACACACGCTCTATTAAAATATTGTACATTTTAATTTCGGGACACTCCGTGTAAGTTATAATTTACATCGAAACGATGAGTATTTACGCAGAGTTCTTCTCGTACGTAAAAAGCTTTTATAAAATTAATGTACATACAAACATCTGTAGCGCCGATATCAATATATTTTCGATCATTCGTGCAATTAAATTTGATTGCAATCCATTTAGACTTTACTGTATTCGATGATTACGAGTTCGAGAAATTAATGCGACCAATAAGGTGCGAGTGACTGTGCTGTCAATCTTAACGTATAACGTCGCATAAGCTTTCGATATGTGGATACCAGCGCTTTCTCGAGATCTTCTTGCGAACTGTCTCGCAATCCGCATATGATAAGTGCTATTTTATCTATTTTATCATTGCTTCGAATTATTCGGTGAAAATTTAAGTTTTAACATACAGCGTGTTTAAATTTTAATGCCCCATTGCGCATAAATTGACCAATTTTCTCTCATTAATATATTACGGTGGTATTTTACCAAATGGCAGAGGATTTTTCTATTCTGTTTAACGATTTCTGATTAGAATCTTCAAATCACCAAATATAATAGGGAAGAAATGAATAGAAGCGAAAGAAAAGTTTTAATGGAAGTGAATGTCAGAGAGAAGCTGTAATAAATAAAATGACGAAACATGTTGCATCTTTTCCTTCACTCCTGCCCGCTTCTACATATGGCGGATTGTCCGGTGTTCAGAGACTGACTAGAGGAACTCTAGCTGAGGCCTGACGTCGATGCCACGGCTTTAAACGGTTACAACTCGTGAATGAGTCGATGTAGCGACATGAAATGAAAAGCAATCTCTTTGTCACACGTTTCCGCATGTGTCTATGCTGCTCTTTTATTGCCCATTTAGAAGAGTCGCGTATCGTGATCGATTAAAGTGTGGCAAACACGCTTACACGAGCGACATATAAACTCTTTCATTCGCGATCGAATTGTTCAAATCTCTTTCTTTGTCTCGTCTATTGTAATCAGTGGCAAGATTAATATACTGTATTCTGTAGATCACAAAAGGAATAATTATTGTGGTTATTTTAAAATAATAGAGGACACTCTTTTATGCAATTTCATGAGCTCTGACCACAAACGAGCGTTGGTTGCGCGTTGGTTGTTTCAAACATTCTGTATATATTTCCAACGCCAATTAAATAAATACATAATAAAGAGATTATGGAGAGGCAAAACTTGTTTTACATATTCATTAATTATGCATTAATTATATATTAATAGTTAGTATCCTAATTCATAAAAGTCAGTTACGCGAGCTTAAAAGGGTTAATAAATGCAAGTCGTTAGGTATGCTTTGCATTTGAAAATAAAGATCGTAATATTATGTTCATTTAAATTCGTCTTAACATGTCGACCACGTCGGGGCGCTAATCCGGCACGACAGGATCACACGAAGCATAAAATCCAAAATTATACGCGATAATACGGCGAATTCGTTCGGCGAAAGTTTCCCACTCGGCCGCAAATTACATCCGCGCTGGGTTTTGTCACAGAGATTGAACTATTTAAGTTCATCTTTGCATCGCGAGGAAACGCTGGTTTACTGCGAGAGGGCGGCCGTTATTAACAGTAAATAGACGAGACGTTGATAAGATGGAAACTAATTAGATCGTGGTGGTTGTCGGCGATGTTTAAAATTCATGTGCCTATTGACCTTAGAGAGGAGGTTCAAAGGGGCGGTATACTCGCGGAGCACAGTGATTACTGGTGTCAAGAGCCTGCCACGGATGGAATGTATAATATGAGCATACGCCACGAATATTCCAGCATATCCCGGCGCATGGCCGAGCATAATAAAATCTAATCACGTAAATAAATCGTCAATAATTCTAATGGGTCCTATCGTAATCTCTTTCGAAACGATTCGCTGCAAGACGTATGTAATTAATATACACTCGCTATTATACACACGCATATACATACACGCGCCTAAAATCCGACTTTACAAAATTGTTTACACTAGCTTTACAATTCAAATGGATTTGCGAAATTATTGAGAAAGAATTAATTCGACCTCGTTTGAATAATTTAATCTTACGTACTTTGACGTGTTTTCGACAGTTCCGTATACGCTGAACCGACCCTCTTTCATGAGAAAATTTTTCATTAGGTCAACATTGGACTTTGGACAAGGTTCTCTCCTCGCAATTTACTGTTATGATATGAAAAATGCGTCATAGCGCATTATTTTATTAGTAATGCTTCATACATTTCTAGAGAATGTTATGTATCGTATATAAAATAATTAAAATCCCTTAAATATATGTTTTTATATAATTCTAAAAACGTGCCACGGTGGAAGCGAGTTATGGTCAATTTAATCTAAGTTTGAAACACATAATGGCGCAAAATTAACAGTAGGTATTAACAATATTTATAATTCTCTCTTTTTAAAAATATATATATTTGACGTCATATAATTCCTTTTTTCAACGATATGAATAAAATTAATATCATAATCTCTGACGATTGTTTTTCCGGTTTTTCCTCGGCATATTATTCGCGCACGCATCGAATCGAGTACTTGTAGTCTAAGTTGACACCATAAGAAGTTAAGGCGATTAATCTTAACTATTGGTTAAACGATAAATCTTAAATACTAGTTAAGATTAATCGTTTCGACTCCTTAACGGCGTCGGCAGTGTCTTATGCGGCGAAGAAATGGGGGTTGAATGTACCATCCCGATGTTCTCCTTGCCTTTCCAATGAGATCGTTTCTCCTCAGCTTTTAACTTTTCTATGGTCTTTTGTTGCTGTTCGATTAATCGGGTCTTGGTAGATAATTCCTAAAAGAAATCATTAGCTTTTCAATCAGAGATACGAAGGTAAATACAGATGGGAAAACACAAACAATATCATAACATGCATTTGTTTACAGATGTTATAACATTATTACAAAACTATCTTAATATCATGTGCTGTATTTGGACAAATAAAAACAATGTAGGATTTGCTTCGGAACAAAAACATTTATTTGTCAATAAAACTAATAAACACTCAAAGAAATAATATATAGCTGGTTATTATTATATATTATTTCTTTACATATATTATGTACATAAAATGGTAATTAAACAGTACATCAACAGGTAGTTCCCGTCGAAACTGAATAATAATCGGCATAGTACTTGACAATGTTCGTATCAAATAATAATTTGCATGGTACTCGTGCTTGCAAACAAAATCGCGTACGAACATTTTTGTTTGTTCTTAGTGATAACATAGACGTAATGCCATTAAAATATTCCATACGTAATATAATAAAACTGCAAAAAGCAGAACGACGAGCCAACGCACCTGTTCCAATTTGTAGATCTTATCTTTTAGCTGAGCTACGTGCTTGATCCTTTGCTTAGGGTTCTGATGACCGATCATTTCTGCATATTTTCCGCTGATCTCCTCGAAATCCTTCTTGAGACGGCTGTTCAGCTCTGCGATTTTCTTGGCCTCCCTATATAGAAAATAACAGGCGTTACTTTTTTTTCTCAAAATCGCGATCAAAAATTGTTTTCTGTGCGAATCAGAACGTACTCTTCAGCTTCTTCTCGTCGTGCCCTCTCTTCTTGAATCTGTTGCTTAAGTGCATTTTCTGTAGTTTCCCGTTTATTTTTCTCTTGATCTAATAACTGTTCAAAATACTTTTGAAGTTCCTATAATGATATTTTATTTTTTAACAATATTTATCTACGAAATATTAAACAATATGAATATCGAGATTTAATATAAATATTTAAAAAAGATGTATGTTATAATGTTGTTAGAAATTGTATGTACCTCTGAATGTTTCTTGTAATTTTCAAGCAGCTTGACTTTCTCAGTAAGTTCTTCCACCCGAAAATTCGTCTATAAATATTCCATGTATGAGTAAATATACACACTGTTTCGTAATTTATCATTTTAATGTTATATTTAAACACGTACCTCATTTACGGCTTTCTTACATTGCGTTTCTCGGATTTGAACTAATTGATTATTTTCTTCAAACACTTTTTCTCGATTCCTTAATTGTTCCTTGAGCTTGCTATTCGCCAGCTCCAATCGTGAAATGTTGACCACTTGAGCGTCATTTCGTTCCTCTAGTTTGAGTAATAGATTCTGCGCTTCACTAAGATTATTCGCCATTTCGCAGAGTTGTTTTTTAAGCTGCAATGAATATACAACAACTCAATCATAAATTAATTTTTAGAAAAAGAAAAATTTTATATTTTCACGAATCACAAAATACAATTGAGCGCGATATCGAATGTAGAATTACCTCATCGTTTTGAAGAGACTTTTTCTCACAATCGTCCTTGAGTCTTGTGATTTCCTTCGCTGTTATTTTCTTCAGATTTTCAATTTTCGCCTCAAAAATAGGTTTAATCGCTTCGAATTCAGACAAACTGCTAGCCTCCAGTTGATCCACCATTTCTCTCTGCGCGTCTAGTTCTTCCATGAGCGCGTGCACTTGTTCGTGCACCAGTTGCGAATTATTGCGCATCGCACTGAGCAGATCTTTGTGCTCGTGTATACAGTCTTCACCACGTTTCAATTCATGTTGCAGTCTCTCCACCTCGGCGTTGCTCTGCGCCAAGCGATTAGTAAGTGCGACGACGGATGCCTGATTTTCAGCCATTATTACCTCAAATCTAAACATTTTAGACATTTGAAATATTTTGTCGGTGGCAATCGACCGATAAAATAAAACCGATGAAAAGTCAGTCATATTATGAACGTTTGCTAATACAAACCTCTTCCTTCTAGCGACCATCTCAGCCGCTTCCGTCCTGATGTGATCTTTTAGAGCTCTCAATTCTTCCCTCTTCTCCGCTAATTCGGTTTCTGCCTTATCTAACTCAACTTGCAAACTTTGACTAAAACTTTCCTAAAAGTCACAATTTATCGTGACAACATCGCATTACAGGCAGTGTCATCAATTTTGACGTCGCGATAGTCACCTGAGTTTCCACGGACGATCTTAGCTCCTCGAGCGTCGCAGAGAGCTTGGTGATTTCGGCGTCCCTCTGTGAAAGTTTCTCGTCTAATGCAGTACGCTCCATTTCCATACGAGCCAAACACGCTTTGTATCTTTCGGCAGCAAGTTGCATCTCCTCTTCCACGGTGTTTCGCGCCTCTCTGATCATGGCGTTGACCTAAAAGCACGAGCCCCATTTTAGTATCCCGTGAACACCCTGCTCCGTTATAACGGGAAACAAGAAATATTCTCAAACATCACAGAAAGCGAATTGGCGAAAAGCGAAAAGAAGCAACATCTACAGAGGAGAAGAGCACAACACTCCATCCCCGCGAGATTCCCCCAGATGTTCACGCAAGTGTTAGAGGAAAATGAATAATCAGTCAGTGATGTTTGGCATTTTACGCACGTGTGACCCGCTTACTTTCGCATCGCATTCAACGATTGCTCTTTTTACTCGCTCCTCGCTCTCAGCGCGGCATGCCGCTAATGTTTCTCTCGTAACGGCCTCCGCGTTCTCGATCATTTTCTGGGTATGTTCCGTCATGCGTTTCTTTTCTTCTTGAATCTTCTTCTCGGAAGCTTGCTTCAAATCATCCAACTCCTTATCTCGCGCTATTGTAACCTGCGATATAAAGCGATGCGATGTGTTTAATTATCGTTACAGGTAATTACAAAAGTTACAAAAGTATGCTATTATGTCTGCTATTATTGAAATAGCGAATTAAATCATCGTACATTTTCCAGTTTTCTCATGTACTCTTCTTTGGTAAGCTTTAATAATTGCTCCAACTCTAACTTGTCTTCAGCATACCGATACTTCATGTCAATCAAATGATCTTGAAATTTTTCCATTGTAAGAGCATGCTCGTTGTTCGAATCCTCCAGTTCTTTTTGAGCCTCATATAAACGCTGAGACACCTAAAATATGAGTAAAAAAGATTTTATAAAATACTACATAGTTAAAAGTCGTTCACGCGATACGCGTAATACACATAGTGTGATACGCACATCTTTGTAAAGTCTTTGAACGTCCTTCAGTTCTTTCGTAAGGAAAGAATTTGTTTCTTCTATTTCGTGTAACTTCGTTTCCGCACTTGATTTAAGCGTCTCGTTTGAGATTAACAATTCCTCTTTTTCTTTCGCGAAGTGATCTTGCAGACATTTAATTTCTTTCTCGTGTTTGTCAGTAAGATCGGAAGTTCGTTTGATAGAATCGTCGGCCAGCTTCTCGTATTCGGCTTTAAGTTCGTCCAATTCACATTGCAGAGTGGATAACTGACTTTGAAGCCTCAAAATAACGTTCTGTCTCTTCTCCAATTTAGCTTCGAGATTAGATTGCTCCTGTGTTAAATCTGCGATACGCACATCGAGCAGATCTTTTTCCGTGTGTAATAATTCAATCTCGGTATTGCGATCATGCTCCACCATCTTTACTGTGTTTATAAGTTCTACGATGCGCACTTCAAGAGACGTCATCTATTATAAAGGAAAAGAGATATAATTTTAGTACAACGGTCTACATCACACTTTTCAAGTGAAAAAAGTTCAATCTACCCTCATTTTGTTCTGCTTCTTTTTGGCGCACAATTCAACTTCCAATGTTGTTATTCTTTTTGATAGTTCAGCCGCGCGATTTCGAAGTTCCGACTCGATCGTCTTTCGCGCTGAGAATTCACGCTCTTTCTCTTCGGACATTTCCAATAATTGCGAGCGAAATATCTGCGTTTCTGCTTCATGTTTTTTGTCATGATTGTTTAGTACCTCTTGTTGCAACTTAGCCTGCAAGTTAAAAGAGAAACAATTAAAAATACAACAAAACATCGCGACGGCGTTCCGTCGATATCAAGAGTAGCTTCTGTTTAAAACTATATCAACCATTGTCTCTAAATCTTTCGTATGCTGCTCCTCCGTTTCGATCTGCTTCTTGCACAATTCCTCCAGTTCAGCTTGTAATTTCCGCACATCTTCCTTCATTTCCTCAATGTACTTCTCTTGTTCCTGTATAGTCTTATCCTTGTTTAAACATTCCACTTCAAGATCTGCGAGGTGCTGGTTGGATTCGTACTTCATGTTCTGACTTCGAGCTGAAGTTGAGAGCTTGACTTTCGCTTTGCAGGTGACCACTCCCGTCGGTTTCGTGCACTTCCTTGGCATCTGAGGCTGCACGTACACAAATACGATTAATATCCGTAATTTAATATCCGATTTTATTTATGACGACGCATCCTAGTTATGACGCAAAAACGACAATTCCCGAGAATCTCGCGTATTCACCCAAATTTTGCGTCATCATCGTTTAACATTATTTTTAATGCGCTATTTTTTAAGGAAAGAACAATGCAAATTCTTCCGCGTTAGTAGTCACATTACAAAATATAATTAATACTACGTAAGTAATAATAAATAGTTTATAATTAACAGCCCCAGAACAGATAGTCAAAATGTCAATCTGACGTCATTTTGACTAAATATTGATCAAATTTACGTCGTTTTTTGTTGAAAATAACGTCAGATTGACATTATTTTGACTATTTGTTCTACCTGGGGCGTAGATTTATATAAATAACAATTAGTGTTGCGAGATGTCAAGAATTCTCGACGAAACTCGTTGCGATCTTTACCGTACGAAAAGCGGGGATCGAGATGACTCCAATGCTCTTCCCGGACACCGACGCGTTACATTCCGCGCTATACACGCTCTTAGTATCTAGAAATCTATCGGTCTTTTCGATCACTAGTCCTTTCACTTTATTGTCGAATTTCGGATCGTAGGCGCCTGGCGGAGGTGCCTCGCCTGCAAAAAAAATATCATTCATATATGTGTTCATGAAATGAAGGAATAATGATGATCCATTTTCAGAGTAGAAATATATCTGCATTCTTGAAAATGGCAAAAAGCTACGAGGATTTAAACACAAACACTGGCGCCTATTCTTAAATAATACACATTGCGCGGTATCGATCGATTCGAGGACGAAGATAAAAGGGGGTAGACAAAGGAGGAGGAGGGAGGGAAGAACAGCGCGGCTAAATGGACTTCCTTTTGGCGCGCGTCGTACCGTACATGGGGAGCGGGCGCAAATAGGGAGACAGCTGTTCTGAATGCAGGGGACACATCTCGATGGGGTCGTAGAATAACCAGGTGTAGTCGGCAACGTTCCTGGCCACCCCATCGTCATCCTCGTCCTCCTCATCTTCTCCTTCGTCGTCGTCCACGCGAGTAAAATGTCCTCTGCTTTTATTGTCGCACATCTTTTCTCCCCGCAGGGATCGATATATAAAATTTAAAAGGCCCCGGACCGCGACGTAGTCTTATATAAGGATAAGATATGAGAAATAAGAAATAAAATATGATATTGCCCCTTTCTTTCTTTCTCTCGTCGCTTGAACGTCTGTACCCGACATGGCAGGGATATCGCAAAATGGGTAAATAAAGGTAGAAAGGATAATGAGGTGTAATCAGAAGACAAATGCGATCGAAGAAATAAATGGATTGGCGAATGTGTGCAGCAAGAATACGTTCAACGCTATCGGAGCAACGCACCCACGTCGTAATCAGTTAAAATATGACACGTGACAAGTATAAACAAGTATCTGTTCTTTCGTATTCGCGTGCGTCCTATCAGAATGTATTTCGAAAAATTGTACAAATTCATGAAATACATTTGAGTTATTTGACTTGGTCGCATGGAAATTATATTTTATATACGTAATTAAAATATATAAATGTGAGCTATGACTATTATATATTATATTCACAAAAATGCAAAACATTCGTATAATGTGATACAAAAAAATATATATTTGGAGATACAAGTTTAGCGAATTAATGCAAAGGTCGCGATAATATCGAAGTCACCGGAGTGTAAATTTGTTTCACAGAATGGAGAGATTATCGTGGCAAAAATTGCAGGGCAGATTTCAGCAAAAATTGTACGTTATGTCCAACCGTGATTCGTCGTCGAGAATTTTCCCGCCAACGCGTCATCATGTTTATCGTGCTGCTTATTGATGATGGCGAGTCCGTTCTGAGTCCCGTCGTAGCACGTAGAGAAACGGACGAACAAACGAGAGCACCGAATAGAATTAAGCAACCGAACCGGAGCATGCAACAGGTCTCGTCATTAACACAAAACGACTTACTTGCAATCTCGTTGAAGCGTTGTATCTTCGCCTTAGAGAAGGACATGTCGCCGTTTCTCGTGCCCCTATACTCGCAAAAATACCCAAACAGTTGACCTCGCAAGAAACGTTAACAAGTCGCGAGGATGAGAGAATCCCGACGACGACGGCCGTTGACACCTCGACGTTTTTCCGTCCGAATCCTCCGTCGTCCACCCTCCGCGACTTGCACGTCGATCACGCCGAAGAAAATCCACGAACCGAAAGCCACACGACTGCGTCGACCACTGCTCGCTTGCACGGACGATTCTCCTCGAGGAGCTCGCTATACCGGTTATTTCGATTTAAAACGACGGTTATCCAACGCTCACGCGTGGCGATTCGTGTGTGCATATTGCGTGAGGGACCAATCGCATAAGTCGCTGACACAACGGCTCCATCTGATCCTTCCTTCTTTGTCTTCCCTACGGTTTGCTTGCAATGCTCTTGTGTTCTCTGTCTCTCTAATGCAATCTCTGTTTTTCAAGATCTCCGCTACGAGTCGCCACCATCCTTGACGAAAAGAATCGAGGTCATAGTACGACTCAACGACAGGCCAAACGGCCACTTACTTTCAAGTGGTACAACTCAACGGTAAGTCAGACGTTCTTTTATATAGCACGTTTTGATGACAAGTTAAAAGAACTTTTGTTCCCGATCACTACAGTACACAAGACGAACTTATTATTCTTTGCAACTCAAATAAGCACAAAAAGTATCCGGCTGTGATACGTTCAAATTAACAGAGTGCACGTCAAATGCCACGTTGTATCGAACAGGCCAATAGGGATTAGCGCGATATCGTCGACGCGATTACCAGTGACCGCTAATGTTTCGCCGATAGAAATATATTCTTCCTGCTAAATCTCCAAATTTCTCATAGCATATCAGTCCTCCTCGGAATCCTTCACGATGAAGTACAAGCTCTACGTTACATTCCTGCTTTTTTCCATTTTGAGCTTAAGCTATGTCGCCTGTCAGTACAGAACGAAAAACGTAAGGATTCCACAATATTTTACTCGCTTAACAAATGAACCGTCTCCTGTGTGCTTCTTTCAACAAATGTCACGTCTTGCTTTTGCAGAATCAAGGCTCCTCCCTGGGAGAACGTGTACAACAATTAATGGAAATGGCAATGAAGAGATCGGTACAGAAATTTAATTGGCCAAAATTTAAACAGTACATTAAAGCTACTCCAAGGAATTATTCTGTTATAGTTATGTTTACCGCTATGGCACCTCAGAGGCAATGTCAGATTTGCAGGTAAACCTGCAGATATCGGTGCTCCATTTAAGCGTACTAGAGAAAGCATGTGCTTATACAATAATTTATTATTTCAGACATGCCAATGATGAATTTAACATAGTAGCCAATTCATTTCGGTACTCTCAAACATATTCCAACAAGTTGTACTTTGTTTCTATCGATTTTGATGAAGGATCTGATGTATTTCAGTTGGTAAGAGAAAATATTACACAAATATAAGATATACATAATGTGGAAACATGTTTTTGCAATGTTTAATGTATTTCCTTTAGAGTTTAGTGGATATATAGCATTTAATCTTTTTAATACTTATATTCTTTCTCTTAATCTTTAATACTTTTTTTTCATATATAATGATTTTACATTACATCTAATATAATCATTATGATTTTATATCTAAGTAAAAAGAAATTAAATTTGAACTTCTTATTATAGCAATTTTTCCAGTAGACTCATAGAAACATATTGTTGCAGATGAGACTAAATACTGCACCAGTGTACATGCATTTTCCACCAAAGGGCAAGCCAAAGCCTGCTGATACTATGGATATTCAAAGAGTAGGATTTTCCGCGGAAGCAATAGCAAAATGGATCAGTGAGCGTACAGATATTCAGGTAACACTTGTAAAACTTTGTAGTACTGCAATATAGTTGTATTACATGTATCATGATGTAGCTATATTACAATTGCATCAGTATTTATCTCATAATACACACATTCATATAATCATATTTTTATGATATTTTATTGTTAATTATAGATCAGAGTATTTAGACCGCCAAATTATTCCGGCACGATAGCGTTAGTGATGCTGCTGGTTATCATAGGAAGTTTCCTTTATTTAAGACGTAACAACTTAGATTTTATTCACAATAGAGGCATCTGGGGTCTCGGTGCTTTGGTATGTCCTTTTTGAATCCTTTTATTGCAGTTTTTTAAACAAATGAGATGTAAGTTATCTGTTCACAGTTCTTAGCATTAACTATGACTTCCGGACAAATGTGGAATCATATTAGGGGACCACCTTTAATCCACAGAGCACCAAATGGAAATGTAGCTTATATTCATGGATCCTCTCAAGGACAGTTTATATTGGAAACCTACATTGTCTTTTTCTTAAGTATCCTTTTGCTATATTCAAACATTATTTTATATGAAAAGAGACATAAGTATCTCTCGAGACACAAACTATGATGTTGATATATCCTTAATATGATGTAAAAAGATGCAGCAGTGGTGTTAGGAATGATCTTAATGACCGAAGCTGCAACTCGTAAAGGTGATGTGAAGAAGCGCAGGATATTTGCTGTGATAGGCCTTGCGTTAGTTACAATTTTCTTTAGCCTACTTCTATCAATATTTAGAAACAAAGCTCAAGGCTATCCATATAGGTATGTGTCGAAAATTTTGTCTATTATAAATTCATATACACAGACAATCATTATTATTCAAAGCATGATAATATTGTTTAAAATTTTACAAAATTTTAATAATATTATCATGCTTTGTGTTAATATTTTGATAAGAATTATCATATCCGCATTCCAGTGAAGAATAATATGTTTCAGCTTACTGTTCAAATAACCAATTCATGTAGGAAAATATTTTCACACGATCTCCATCTAAAAGGACAAAAAACCTTTACTGTTTGCTGTGGAATGAGAATTAAACTAGGAACATTTTTTTACAAACAAAGGGTAAAATATGTTATATTGTTATAAATGTATTATAATTTTCATCTTTATTATAATGTATGTAATATAAAATAATCCATATTTACAATTATTCTTCTTCAATAAAAAGATAATATAAAACAAAGTATTATAGAGTAACAAAATACAATAACAATTTTTCAAGTGCTATTACTCAGTAATATTGATTAGCTTTATTTTCTAATCACTGTAATAAATTTAGTTATTTAGTGCATCTATCCCTGTTATCCTACCAGATATAGGGAATTAAAATTTTTCTCTTCTTGGGATAATCTTTAAAAGTATTACGATACCACTGATGATTCAAATATGCACACTCAGCCTGAAAAGATATTATTCGTTATTTTGACTATTGAGAGGAGGAAACAAATATGAAACTACTTGCCTGATTCGCCATAACCCAAAAAGTAACGTAGTGATAAGTAGAAGCTTGCCAGAGAATTAGAGATAACATAAAATACATTAGTATCTCTGTAAATTGCAATGGACTTGATACATATTCAAATAATCCGTGAAATGGTACATTATAACTGTAGGACACAACGACGCCGTCTCTATTCTTACGTAGTCTTGCAAGAATAAAGTTAGTGTGAAGCTGCATATACGTGGACCATAAAAATATCAATGCACAAACAAGTATTGTAATTGTCAATTTATTCCAGGGCCTATTTATGTAAAGAGAACCTACAAAAAATTATATATTGTAATTAGAAAAAGAAACAGAATAAAGTATGTGTTCAAAAATTAGCCAATTTTCAAAGATATACCTCTAACAAATCCCTCAGATTCGCCTATGAAACATAAAAGTGCTCCTGCATAATGTATATATCCAATCAAATATAGGGACACATTAATTTTATTGTTACCAAATATACTAACAGAGGTTGTTTCATACAGTCTCTTCCAACACTGTACGTTGAATAAAACAATAGCTATAATTACATTTTCTGCTGGTACTAAACAAAAAAAATTGATCACATATATCTTTGTAATTTTGTGAAGATTTAGTAATAGTACTTAAAAGAAACAGCATACCTAAAGGTTTTCTAGACGCTCCAAATGATATATCTAATAATGTTAATACAATTTCGGGTACTTTCCAATTATAAAAATATTTATAAAATATTAAGCAAAGTGTAACTGTCGATGCTGGTGCAGCAAACATGTAAAAGTGTCTAAACCAACTAAAAATGGAATATTTAAAATTTGATTATCAAAAAATTTTATTTATTTGCTTGCGGTATAAGAAGAGTATTTTAATGATTACACTGAACTATTTTCGACTTAAAAAAAATTAATATATTTAACTTTCAACTTACCTTTTAGGCACTTCTAACGTCTCCATTACGACATGACGAATATTCGCATTGTATTTACCGTAGCGAAAAATGCGCCTTAACGATATAGGCAAATAGGGTTCTATATAATTAATTAGCAATCCTCCTATTGTTATAAAAACTGTATTAAAAATGAAAAGGTAGCGTATGAAGTTCATTTCCATTTCTCTGTTTTTCCCGTAATATTTGCCGGCACACTGAATGTATAGGTACAAGGTAACACGAATTTCACCATATGACTTTCTCCACAATTCAGGTCACTGAAATGAAACAGATAACACTTTCTCAGTGGACATTTACATATGTTATTGCGCAAGATATTAAGAAAAACATATTTTCATATCATAATCATTTATTTTTCCTGCTGCACAATGTAAAAAACATATTTTTGGTAACAATAGCTGCGTTCGGCATTGTAAATCAAAGATTGATTGCTCTTTCATTTCGAAGATATATAGAAATGAAAAAGATACGAGATCTCGTATCTCTCTCACTTCTGTACATTTTCGAGGTAAAAGAGCAATCCGACGTCTTCGATTTACAATGCCGAACGCAGCTAATATATACACATTCTATGAAACAAGTTAATTTTTTCTACATTTATTAACGTATTCTAAACGGACGAAATAATTGCAAAAATATACATCATTATTCATCACTAAAGGACCTATTTCGTAACTTTTAACAATAGTGATGCTATCATTATATTATCGCAGATATAACATATTGTTCCAACTTCTTGGTAAATTAACTGATAATAAGTCATATATCTATCTTTGTTAAATTGAAGGAAAGACAGACATATGATTTAACTATTAGTTAACTTACCAAGTAATTGGAACAACCGGTTCAGAGTCGAGAAGTTGCACATCGATCACATAACAACGCCAACACTGTTCTTCGAATAGGCGTAAAATAATGTGCTGAATAATACAAACACAAAAAACGGCACAAAATTACGGCACAAAAAACGAGAAGCAAATTGATCAATAGTCTTATCATTGTAATTTGCTTACTACTTAAGTTTTTCTGTGTCTCCAGTCTAACAGTTAAAATTCAGAATATTCATAAAGTAGAACTTGTTTGTAATATTAATAATATTAATTTTTAATATTAATTATAATATTAATATTAATAATTTCATGAAATTCTATCAAGTTTAATGTGTTAAAGAGAGGATAGCAAAACTGGTTTTCACTAAAGTTGTATTTGCTTTATAAATAATGGTTGTGTTCAGGAAACACAACAGTTATATAACGGTTGAATAATTAGTTAACGTAATTGGTCTAAAGTTAGGGATCTAACAGTAAGGACCAATAATCACTGACCGCTCACTGATCAGCTGTGTTTTCTGAACGCAGCCAATGGCTACATTCATGGAACACGGGCGCGCTTTCACTATCATTAAATTCTTTCAGATTTACGATCGGTATCTATAGTCGGATCTTATATTTAAAGGTCCGTCTACAATAGGAGTAAAGTACGGGTTGTAAGAAGTAAGAGTATGAAATGGACAATCACAGTCAAATGTCAATGACAGTCAAAAAAGAATAATCTACTATAATTAGTTAATTTTTTACTCTTACTTCTTACGGTCATACTTTACCATTGTGCGTTCAGGAGACACAACGGTTACACAACAGTTGAGTAATTAGTCAACGTAATTGGTCTAAATTTAGAGATCTAACAGTAAGGACCAATAATCACTGACCGCTTTACTGATCAGCTATGTTTTCTGAACGCAGCCATTGTAGACGGTGCTTCAAGCTCGTAATCAGTCAGCCGAAAACTCCGCGTTGAAGATGACGTTGGGGCTGCTATAGCTGGAGTCATTTATTTAAAGAAAGAAAAAATTAGAAAAAAGAAAATTTATTATTGAAAGAAAAAAGGAAGAAAGAAAGGAGAACTCCGCGTTGACGATGATGACACGATTGTAAATGACAAAATGATGAATTATTACCCTGGCGAAAATAAAAATCAAAGAGTAAATAAAGTGTAAACGAAGAATGACGGAAGTGTAAGTGAAGCTTACAAGCGTAAATTGAAAGCGAGTACGCTTGCTTTACGTTCCGATGTTTCAATTTACGCTTTGTTTCACTTACACTTCCGCCACTCTTCATTTACACTTTATTTACTCTCCAATTTTTATTTTTGCCAGGGTGATTCACAAAGTGCAGACTATTGCAATAAGTTAGAGTGAAAGTATACTTGTTTCTAATTTATTGCATTAGTGCAAAGTTCATCGAAAACAAACAGACCTAATGATACAAACGACTAATTTTTTCCTAAAACTGCAGTGTTATTATTGAATGTAATGCATATCACATGTAATGTAATTGTGGGAGTATGGAAATGCTCCGAATACTGTACTTATTGTGATATTTAATGCGTATAAATAATTATTCGTTCATATGTTCATTGTGTCACAACTGATTTTCTGTCAAAACAAGGTAATTTGTCACATTTATCTTGTGGTCATGTATAATAAGTTATTTCGGCAAAAGAGGAATATCTGGAGAATTTCACAAATATGTAGAACAGATTGCAAGTTTATATAATGATATCTTTTTACTTAACTGTGGTTCACAGGAATTTTGAGCATGGTTTTCCACGCTTCGACGTCATCAATCTAATATGGCCGCAGTGACTGGTCAGTAATGCGATTTTGTAATTCGTTATTGCGTTAACGATAGTTTCGTTATTATTGCGCAGCTTTTTCGTGCTGTAGAAAAGTTGCGCAACGATAACGAGACTATTGTTAACTGCAATAACGAGAGAGTTACAGAATCGCACTACAAAAGCCTTAAGCCACCTGAAGTTTATCTTCAGATGAAGTACAGATCGTTTCATTGGCTACGAAGTATCTGAAGAGGAACTTAAGATGGTTTTAAATATAAGACCCTACTATAAATACAGGCCTATAATAGATCTAAAAAATACTTCAGACAATAATTCAACAGTAGCATAATTGTTGCATTTCGTAAATACACATTCAATGATTTTATGCTGAAAGCATTATTCCATTTTTTTTTGACAGGTAACGAGCAACAAAGATAGGATGACACTGTCAGCACAAAAGCATTCAAAGCAAATATCGCCTGAATAATAGAAAAAGCTACAATAAAAATATAGACAAAAAAGATAATTTATTATCTAAAAATATTTGCAGTATGTAAACAACTTGACGTAGAAAATATTAGAAAATAATAAATTATATAACATTAATTTCACAAGTAAAAAAGTAAATTATAATTAATCTTAATCACTTGTGTCGCATAGAAATACTTAATCAGAAATGTGAAGGACATCAGTAACATCTGCGCGAACCTCTATCCTAAAAACTAAACCGTCATGTTGCATAAAATCAATCACGTCGTTTAAACGCACGAATTCGGTATAACCAAAGCTACGTTTATTTAGTTCGCATGTTGGTCTACGAAACGCTTCAAGATCCGGTCTCGACGATGCTTTCTCACGTATGTTGTATTCTAAATTCCGCGGATGTACTAATACGAAGCATATTGTGCCATTAAACGGCCAATCGAGAGCGTCGTCGTTTTCAGATTTCATAATATGCAAGAGTAAGGAGAGATAACTCGAGTCTCTGGAGGATACGTTGATCCTAACGCAGATTTTATATCCGTTTGGACTCGTGTAAAACCCGGGACTGTAAAACATCTTTAACGGATCGTTGATCATGGCCGTGAGTTTTTCTTGGAAGGACTTTAATCTCCATATGTAAACCCCATTGCAATTTCGCAAGCACATCTCTTCCTGATTAAAGCAAACTGATGTTTGCAGTGTAGTTAAAAGTTTTTTTTGATTAGACACTGTTATGGTAAGCTCACGATTTTCCTGTTCCAAAATGACTAATCTTTCATACAAGTTTCTGAAAATAAAGTTTTGTCAATTTCTACACTTGTTTTAGCAGATATATTTCGACATAGTTTAGTATGATCAATATACTTTAGTAAAAGTTCCCAATTGGCAGGAGGTCCTTCCCTCTCTGAAACTTGTGCCTCCTTCTTTGGAGGTGGGTCCCACAATTTTGACTCTGCTGTCATAGCATTAGTGGTACCTTGCACTACTACAGACGGCAATTATAAAAATACATCCAGTATAAACGCAATATAAATATTTGACTGTATAAAAAAAATATACCTTGAGATTCTGAAAGATTTCTCTTATAAGTGCATTGGCCAATGTGTACCTCCATATCCACAGGTGATAATTCTATCTGACAGCCAAATTGCTGATAAGGACAATATGTACGCTGCTGGGATATTTCTCTGCTAGTATAAAGATCTCTGAAGAGATCATTTTCAGATTTCAATGGCCGACTATCAACAGGGCAACAAGCACCTTCCTTCCTGATAATTGAAGATGAATGATTTAATGCTTATGCAAACAATAAGATCTTGATTAGATAAAGTGAGACTTACTGAAGCCAAGTATATATGCACTGTGAACAAAATTTATGTCCGCAAGATGTTAAAACTGGATCGCGTAGCCATGTTAGACAAATGGGACATTCGAATCTAGGCTCTAGGTTGACACTCTCACCACACTGCGTACCAATGAAATTGCAAGTGGATTTACAAGTTGAACACATGGAGAAAATATTGTGTCAAAAAATTACAATAAAATATATATAATCTTAAACAGAAATCTTATACAGAAATTATGACTAAAATTGCTATATATTGCTTTGAAAATGTTATTAACACATTTGATATTTCACTAAAATTATTGTAGTTATTTAAATGTTTTATATATTGTAAATTTAACACATTATCAAATTTACTAATAATTTATATTATAATATCAATATAATACAGTTTTACCATTTGCGTATATAACATTGTGTATGTACAAAATGAAATATGATACTTTTAATTTTAAAGAATAAAATGTAAAATCCTAAAGTAATTTTTATCACAATATTTACTCTGTATAGCCACACGATTAGTATAAAACTTAAAGCAAATGCAGATTGCACAAGAATATGAGCGTTAGTTATGGAAATTAATCTTGTCATGTCGAGTGACAAGTCAGGAGCAAAAACCTTTTAATTGGCACACAATTGATGATGAATTTATAAAGTCTATCACTATGTAGAATACTCACGTTTCCATTCTCCTCGACGACCTTAGTAGACACAGTCGCATTACACGATTCCTCCATAATCTGCGAAAAGATCCATCGTTAAATTATTATTATACACAACAAATACCAAACGATCAAATGATTATAATTTGAAGCGACAAGTTACACTCACAGTTCACAATATTACGTGCACAATCACGCGTGATGAATCATCTCATTACACATATAAAGCATAAAAACCCTAATACGGCATTGCTAATTCACTATTCCGTTTGATGATGAAATATTTGAGACTGATCGTCATCGACGTCGTATACGAAAGTCGAGAAATGTCGAAGATTCTACAGGCGATAACTCCAAGCAGTAAAAATTCCAGAAAAATATTGTTTGCTCGGTAGAATTTGACTGTATTTCGATATTCACTGCCAATCTATTGTGAAAATCTATAGTATTGAAATCTATGTGACACAAACTGTAGATTTTCAATACTGGTCGTAAATATCAAAACACAACTTTTATCTTAATTGCGTAATGTCTCTACTACGACAGTCTCTTCGTTTAAATTAAAAAAATGTCTTATAACCGATTGTCAAGTTATATCATGTCTTCGATATAATACAAAAAAAATTAGTAGCTAGATGCTGTTTATAAGCCACCACTACTTCGATTCTTCATTAAAGAAAGTGGCGGCTCGTAGCGAAGACTTTGGAACTAACTTATAAAAATAACGAGTCGAAGGGTACAATCCACTAGATGCTACAAACGCTTTGAAGCGCTTAAAAAGAAGAGTGAGTCTCAGATGCGCACATTGACAACCGGACACATCCAATTATATGTTACTGTTTATAGATCTCTAGAATATCTCTAGGCATACGGCGTTGTGGTTGGCTGTGTCTGTTTGTGAATTCAACTCATTATTTCTGTAAATTAGTTCCAAAGTCTCTGCTACGAGCCGCCACTTTCTTTAACGAGGAATCGAGTAGTGATGGCTATAAACAGCATCTAGCTAATGATTCTTTCTGTATTGTATTGAGACAATTCAGCAATAGGTAATACGTTTTTAACCTATCCTGAAAAATATATAGACTACATATAACAAAGATAGAATAAAACCAGCGACACACGGTGCTTGTTTTCGTGTTAGATTATTTGCTGGATGTAAATACTCTGTTTTGATTGGTGCACTTCCATCCATCTTCAGGAATTGTTAGATAAATATTAATCTATCTTGTTGTTTATTTTGGTAATTATCCAGTTTAGCGGCCTCATCTCCGATTTCGATGAAAGTAGGCTCAATCGACGCG